ACGAACTCGCCGAATGCACCGAGTGCAGAATTAAGACTGATGCTGCCGCCATCTATGTTGTAGAAAAGGTACCGACTTCAAACCGAAACTAGCGCCTTTCTGTTCGGAGTGATGCGTGGGAATGCGAGAATGCAGTCGCTACTAACGTTCATCTATAAACGTTGGTCGCTGCAACCTGTAGTTTACAGTTGCGATGACTTCAAGCAGCTCGGCTGCCGTAGAGATAATTACAGACGGCGTAAATTTCCGCAACCAGCTGTCTACAAAGCAGCTGGTTGCGATCTTTCAATTCTTATAACCGTTTACACTGAAGAAGACTGATGATGCTGTCCGAACAGAAGCTAGATCCGTTTGAGTATGGTATTATGCGTGAACCACTGAAAGGGTACGGCTTAAAACTAGCCTGTTGGAATATCCAGCAAAACTGCGACTTTCGATTTGGATCGTCATTATAGGTGGATTAGATATTAGCCTTGGTGAGGGCGTCGAGAACGAGAGCTTTCTCGAACAAAATACGACGGGGCAAGTTAGCTGACGTAGGTAAATGTTAAACATGATGATGTTGCTCAATCCTCGGGTAAAGTCTCCATCTTTAGCTTTCTCTGATGCTTAATGGGCAGTCAGAGTTTTCTGCTGGGGGAGTTTTGTCGACAATTGTTAAATTTTTCACCCGAACACGGATGGTGATAGACATCTCGGGGGCCGCTGTTGCGTTTGTTCTGAGCATTTCTTTACACACTGGTATATTTCAGCGTTTGTACGGCAACAGAGCGATTTAAAACCTGCAAATAAATCACGGGTTGTCAATTGCTTCCTTCGTGAAATAGCAGACGCCCACAATTCAAGCTCGCGTTTGATTTCGTTGCCCGCGGGACGCAAATTCTATCGGAAAATATACTTTTTTTTTTTTTTTTTTTTTTTTCCGTTTGGTTTCGCGACACATCGTAGCAGACGAACCCTCGTCGTCTGCTCCCGCTCCTCGCCGGCCCCACCGGAGCGAGGCATGACGGGATTGCACTTTGGTGCACGCCCGATTTTCTCGGTGCAGCGAGTGCATGCACGCGTGGGGTGTCAGCGCTGAAACGAACTCGGAGAGTGCAACCACTCGTGGAGTGCCGGCCGAAACAAACCCGTTCCACGCTGCGAGTGGGCACGCGTGGGCACAAGTGCCGTGAAACGAACTCGCTATAAAAAAACTGCGTCATTCGAAGCCGCGGTGCTGCGGAAACGAGAACAACCAAAAAATACAGAATGTTTTTTTTTTTTAGCTTTACAGATTTTTAAAAAAATAGCCGTGAAAGCTACACTCGTGCGGTTTGTGCAGGCGAGACCCTCCGGGCAGTCAAGTTTGGTGTCACGTTGCGCCATCTAGCTCAAAATATTTGCAATACTGAGACGGCCTTTTCGCCAGCCTGTTTGCTCCTGGGGCTGTTCACGCATCAAGTTGAAGGTGTTGATTCATGCGTTTTTGGTATTTTATTCTTAACATTGCTATCGGATGTCGCAGAAGAGCAAACGCCGAAGCTGTAGGGACTGTTGCGTACCGCTCTGTCGCGACCTTGGAATCCTAGCAGACGTGAAACTCCGCAGGTTTCCGTCTGCAAGGCCGTCGGATATTAATAAATGTCATAAAGCGTGTAAAACAAGCATTCCGTTCACATTGCTTGACTTGAGATGCAATTCTAAATGCGCTATTTGACTCGATATTTCGAATTAATGCGCTCGAAGCCCGGCGTCGGCGTCGTCTTTGGATTCGATGCGATGACTCTAAGATCAGGTCAGTTCTTTGACACTCATTGCTCTCTGCTCCGCGGACACATCTTGACTGAAAGACGTTGTGTGGACGTTTGATCGTAGTTACAGGAAACCGAAGTGAGCGCTTTCTCTGCTTCGCCGATTGCAGAACGAACTGTCGTTTGCGCTTTCAGCATGACCGCGTAGCTGCCCAAGATGGTTGGTCTATTTCGACCCGTGTCTAAGCGGTCCTAACTTCGTCCCCCACGAAAAAAGGTTATCCATGCGGCGTTTATTTTTGATTTATGTAAAAGTGAACAGCACATTCAATGGAAGAGAAAGAGAATCCGCTTGCGCCGAGCAACTGCGTACGACACCGTCCAAACTACATCCAGCTTGCACGAAAAACACATTTCTCGGACACCACAATCGTCTTCAACACGGCGACTGGAAACAAACTGATCACCAAATTGAGGTCAGGTATTCATGCGGGAGGAGTTCACTCGGAAAAAAAGGGTGCGTAAGATTGAGAGAAAGGGAGGGGGTGCGATTTTAGTTCCGCTTTTGCAGTGCGTTTTTGTAGAGGGAAGCTGGACAAAGTCTTCGCTTCTGTTATATAAAAAAAAAAAAAAAAAAACTGTCCTTGTTTATTTTTTTTTTTTTCACACTTATATTTGACCGATATATTAGCTCCCGTTTCGGGTTGTCTTTACCTATCGAGGAAGGCACCTACTAAAACTCCCTAATGCTAGAACGACACAACCACACACGGATACACATTTATATATTTAACGTTTGATAGATTCTTAATATAGTCAGTAGTGTAATGCGACAACACAACGCTTGGAGTTTGTAATAACGTAGTCTCGCAAGGGTATGCCGGTGCCGCTGCCGATTTTAGCCGTCCCAGTCTTGCCTTATTTGGCCACGGTGGCGCTGATGACCAACCGACGGTGGCGCTCTCTGGGATTCTGCCCAGAGCATTGAAAGCTACACTTGTGCGGTTTGTGCAGGCGAGTTATATGGCCAGAGGGCTAATCGTAACAATCAGTCGGCTAGTTAAGTAAAATTTGTTAATTAACCCTTTGTCTAGCACAAAAATTTAAAAAAAAAAATTTGAAAATATTGAATTTTTTAATGTGCCCTATAAATTTAATACCCAATACAAAGGCCAAAAGCAAATGCCAAAATATTTATTATATGAGAAATCGACCACACTGCAAAAGAAAAAGGGACTAAAGTTCCGCTTCACTGCATTACCGCAGACAGTTCACATCAGCTTGCACATGGACGTTCAGGCCGGACGTAGCAGTACTGCACAGTTCACGTCACATTGCGCGCAAAGTGAACGCAAAATGTGGAGGGGCTGGAGGGGGATTTTCTACACTGATTCTAGTCCACGCCGACACAATGTCCTCATCGAAATCGAGTCGTCCGAGCTCAAATCCAATAACTCAGTTGCATTGCTCTCGCTGTTCGATGAAAGATTCATTTCCTCGTCTTCTGAATCTGAAGAGACGCCATATCTTCGTTTTTTCCCCAATGGACCTTTTGTAGAATTATCGGTTCGAGAGTAAAAGGTTCCAGTACCCTCTCACTCTTCCTTCTGGCCGAGCAGAGCCGAGCAGAAAGGGAAGATGGTTACTTTGTGTAAACTTCATGGCAGAAGATTACGCATGATGGGGACAAAGGTGAGTGGGGGAGCCGTATCTAGGTCACAACGCCTCAATGGGTGAACAGGATGTAGCTGACGTTTTGGGTATGGAACGGGTGGGAGAGGCCTTGGGCGTGCATTGTTTTCTAGCCACCTAGTCTCGAACCGAGTCGCGTGTCTAGGTGGCAGCACATATTCGCCAAAAGGTTCATTTTTAAGCAAGATCGTCACTATGAACGCAGCGACCAGAAGTTGACGTCGCCATTTTTAAATTCCTTGTTGCCTGTGTTGGAACAATTTTCTGCCAAATTCAGAAATTTTCCAGGTTTTTATTTTCCGTGAAGTGCTATCTATCCCCGGCAAAGCTCACTAGAAACACGTGGACCAGCCCAGTTTGTCTTCGGGGGGAGCGGTACAAACAGTGTGGACGAACCCAGGTCGTCCATGGTAAGGAAAGGGTTAACTTTCTAATTAGTGAAATTAGACTTGTGGTTCTTATTGGAAACTTGCTGAGCATCATCTGAAACCACTAAATCAAGTATTTATGAAAAGACATAACAGAGGGACAGCATTTTACAGCGTTCCTTAAAAAAGCTCCATTTGGATGCGTTTCTAGGTTTCGGTTTCTTGTCGGAGCCCGTCTCTGCGCTCAAGGTCCTGCGCCCCAGTGGATGAGACGCGCAACACACGTGCACCCTACGACCCTACTTTCTTCCATCCTACGTAGGTGGCAAGGGGGTGGCTTCGCGCTGTGACCATGTCTTCCTAAAAAGAGTTGATATAGTGATTTTCGAGGATACTTAGCAAGTTTCTAATTGGAACCGTGTGCAAATTTTCACTAATTAAAACTTTATTAACAAATTATCCTCAATTAGCCGACTTATCTTTACATTTAGCCTTCTATACCATGTAACCCTGGCCGTATAACTCGTCGCACAAGTGTAGCTTTCATGGGTTTTTTAATACAAATCTAAAACCTTAATAAAAACACACATGCACACTTTGTATATTGTTACGACTGAAAGCTAGGATGGCCCGATCAAGGCGCCAGACCTAGCGGGTCGTGCCTTGGTCGTGTCGCCTTTCTACAGTGCTCCGAGGCAGTAGGAAGCGCTAGCCAACCTGCCTGAACGGAATTCAAAAAATGAGAAATCTTTAGAAAATTTCGAATCTGTGAATATTTAATACGAAAATCAAGTTGAATAGTACTTTATTCGAAGCAATAATCCAATGTTTTTTTTATATTCAAATCAAGCCTCCATACCAATTCGGCGATGAGGTAGCCGACTACTAATTTCAGTATTGAGAAAGTGAATTTAGGTTTTGGCACAACTGCTTTACACTTTTATTAGATGGCACAGGATGTAGAGAGGTAAGCGCAGGATGTAGAGAGGTGAGCACAGTTTGGCACAGAATAACATCCCTGCAGATGACAAGTCTCAAGCATAACTCCCGAAGGGTATAAAATTGTAGTAAAACCAGAGAATACACTTTGTGCGATGGTAAATTAAGTGAATGAGAGAGATGAAGTGAAGAAAGCTGGTGTCCTTGTCTTTACAAAGCATGGGGACATTGTCTGCCTGAAAGGAGGCACCTCAGAAACGTCACCCTATTTCTTTCAAAAATGAAATTTATTGCACTGATTTCTGTGCTATGCTTGTATTCCCATCAAAAACAGGTAACAAAAAGTTGTTTCAAACAGACCAAAAAATTATATATAGACCACAAGATGACCTTTCGGCCACTTAGACATGTTTAGACAAGACATGCTGATATGCAGTCATGTAGTACTGTCTTCTTTGTAGTAGAGTGAACACAAAAAAACATCCCTTCCTAACAGGGTCGCCAGTCACAGTCGCATGTACACTTGGATAGTACCTATAGCTCATCCTTTGCCTCCTGATCCTTGGCCTGAAAAAAAAAGAAAAAAAAAAAAGAAAAAACCACAACAAATAGGTCTACTATTTTGTAGCACACTGGGACTTGATTGTATATACAAGATGGTTCAATGATCATCCAATTGGAGACCCATGCCCTATCATACATTCCATTTGCCAGGAAATAATTTGTGGGCATGTACTCTGTAAGTATTGTAAGGCAAAACTGGCAACAGATTGGATACTTCTTTTTGATTTTTTTCTTCCTCCTTTAGATAGAGTTCAATATTCACTCAAACATAATGCAATGTTGACGAAAATAATCACTTGAGAAGGGGAACAAGAGGGACAAAGGACAAACACAAATCTCCGAACACAGCTAGGTGACTGGTGCATGACCAAAAAAAATCCTCCTGGTCTGGGTATCGAACCCGAGACCTCTCCATTACAGGTGAAGCGGGTTTTATCAGCTGCCACCAGTCTAACACAACAAGGCTGAAGGTTGCAATTTAAGATATGATTATAATGCAATTAAATGCAAGGGTGCAAGCGAGCTGGACCTTTACATTTAATTGCATTATAATCATAATGCAATGTTGCTGTTTTTTTCTTTTTAACTCTGTTTCCTTAAGTTGTAGTTACAATCAAAGAACACGAGATTGGCCTCTCCTGTGCAGCCATTTTGAAGTAACTGCAAGTATATGGATACTTAAAACGAGAACTGTTGAATACAGATCCAAATCCATCAAAACCAGCTATTGGTGCTATTCTCTTCTTTACGGTACCTCAACGAGAGATTTTTAGAAGCGTGCTGTCCTCTTTGTTAAGAAGATGAAAGCAAACCAGGAAAAGCTCGTACATGTCCATCAACACACTTACTTAGTTTTGCTTTTGTTTTCTTAGCAAACCCAGTTCACAGAGTTTCATTTTTAATGTTCTAACCACTAGTGTGTGGTTTTGTTTTCAAACTTTTATGGCTTTGTTCCCTGTTAGGCATTTTAACGAAACCAACGATAACTTAAGGAACCCATACAATGCCTGGCAAAGAGCAACTTTGATTGCTGAAGGGCTGAAAAACCTTGGTGCTGCCCAACATGAATGGTCATAATCCATGGATGAAGGCACAGTGGGAGGTGCACTTTAAATGCGAGAGCCATAGGAAAGGGAGAAAAGCTTCTGTGGACCTTATCATAGAAAATGTTTCTCCTTCTCTTAACTTTTGTGATCAGTAAGATTACATCTGCTTGGTTACATCCAACCACCTAAAGTCCACTCCTTCTCTGCTGCTGCCGGCATGTTAGTAGAGCCATCTGGTAAAAATTTTTGGTAAGACTCTTGAAATTTAAAAATTTGGAAAAGCTCTCTAGTTTAACTAATTAGATATTAAGTAGAAATGATAGAGATGTTAAAGGGCCTGGAGTCAAATTTTGACACTCCCCAAGGTTTCCCACTCCATTCTGAGCAGGTAAGGCCCCCAGAGGTTTCTTCCATATGTTATGCATGACAGCAAAGACTAATTGTGGGCATTGATTTCCTTTCTCTGGTCACCAAGACTCGGAGCCCACCTTACAGCACATCTGAGTAAAGCAACTTTGCGGTGTGTCGGGGCTGTTTTTGCACAGTCGAAATATTGCTTTACTGGAACCATATTTAGTCCACACATCAACATCAATCTTTTCATTGCCACGGTAAGCTAGCCAAACTACTTAAGTAGGCACATTGCTAAATTGACGATTTCCACTGAAACAAAAATAAAATGCATGGGATAAAGCAGTGGTTCTCGAATGGGGGTCCCAGGCCCTTTGAAGATCATGAAGGTCTCCTTAAGCACCCCTGGAGCCCGGGGGTGCTTAAGGAGACCTTCAAGCCAAGCATCAAATCAAGCCAAGCAATAAAACTTGTTTTTAAATTGATTTTTACGATACCACAAAGCTATAAATAGACCAAACCATGTGTGCCAAGTGACAAGGGCTGATTATTCTCTAGAGCTTCAAAGTTGACTTTCGTCACTGTAATTGTCTAATTTACTCTTTTCCCCCTGTGGATGGGGTCCCTTACCACTTCTGCAGATCTTGAAGGGGTCCCCGAGATATTACTGGTCTAGAACCACTGAGGATGACATGCTTTGAGACCGTCTGTCCAACGTACACCCGCTGGCAATATGAAGGTGAACACCTTACCTGGGTTCTTGCCTGTTTTACGCAGGGCTTAAAGTCTGGGGGGTCTCAGGGGGTCTCAGACCCCCCACTGATTTTGACAGGTAGTCTGAGATCCTCCTCCGAAGCCCCAACATTAGTGAATTCAAAATCATATATTGCAATGAAATAGCTTGTTTTTTAGGGATGTGACATTGATTAACAATTTGAGGGTAGCAAATAAAGCGTGAGCAGAGTCAACAGTGGGTTATATTTTATCTGCATCTACTACATCTCGTCAGAACAATGCCTCTCTCGTCAGAACAATGCACTTTGGTCCTTCTCTTTTATTTTTGTATAAACGATCTCATCACTTCTCAGTGCAACAAAAAAACAAGCATAACAATTATGCTTTTTTTTTTTTGTTGCACTGCTTCTGGCACAGGTTTCCCCAATTCTCCCTCTTTTTCTTTCGTCTCTTTTGTGTTGTGTAGGTTTCTCCCTCTCTTTCCTTCGTCTCTTTTGATTGGTGTAGGACTTGATGCCTATATAAGCAGCCTTTGTTATCAAATAAAATTCAGCTGTGTTTGAGACTTCCGTGTTTGTTTGTCCCTTGTTGTCCCGGTTTCGGTTTTTTTTTTCGAAAAGTTTAACTACCACCGGCTCGTTTGTGCCCTTACCTTTTGTTCACAAGAAGAGGGCTGTTCACCTTCATATCTCTCACGGGTGTACACTTGTTTTATACTGTTTTTCCAACCAAAATTAAGAACTGAACTAGCATGCCCAGTCTCAAGGGTAAGTCCTTCGATAGCGACAGACAGAGCAAGAACAGCAAGGTCTGGTTTTCAAGCGCCCGGCCTCCAGCACACCTCGCCATGCTTTGGCTCCGTCTGCGCACTTCAATCACTGAAGCATTGTCAGAGCTGGGATGCTCTCGCCGGAGGCGGAACTGCAGCCTCATCCTGCCGTTCACCTTGTCGGCGACTACAATGTGTTACTAAGCAACTAATTTGCACATACCTTGCTATGCTTTCCTGGGTAGACCTTGTTCTCTATGGTTATGGATTCAAGCCTCTCCTGTTCCACGAGAAAGTCCTTCGCTTCCCAGGCCTGAGACCCATCCTTGAAAGAAAAGATGGCCCGGTTCTCGCCGATCAGGAACCTGCATTGTTCAGCATTCACTTTCAGCAGAGAAGTAAACGAGCATGCACAAGAGACAATTGCCACTTACACAGTGCAAGTGATCATTATACCGTATGACCCCTATGTGGCGCACAAATTTATTTGCTTCTTGCACAGGGGTTGCGAGGATGTCAGAATGCCAAGCTCTCATTGGCTGATTCAGAAAAATAGTGGGTAGACCTCAAGGCATCTAGCATTGAGGTCTACCCACTATTTTTTCAATCAAAGTCAATCAGAGCTCGGCATCATACTGACGTCACCGAGGCTCCTGCGCAAGGAGAAGACGACTTGCTGTCCGCATAGGCAAAGACTGCTAAAGAAAAGCAAAGTTATGGCATATCTGTAAAGCTGGTACAGGGATTCAAAGAACTGACACAATGCCAATAATACGTGTGCAAGTGTATACAAGTGTGACATGGGCTGAGAACGACTTTGGCAAAAAGTAGCCTGTGTCCCTTTTACTTTTGGAGAGCAGGAAACACCTTGCATGCCGCCAAATAATTAGATCGGATTGGCAACTAACATTCAGTGTTACCAAGGGCTGTACGACTCGACAGCGCACAACATGAGAGCATGTATCCCAAGAGCGCATGTGCGCGCCTTGAGAATAATCAATGTTTCAGTCTTCAAACACGTTTTCTCGGATCGAACGCTTTACGTCATTTTATTGGTTGAGTATGCAGACCTGTGGCAAGTCTAAAAATACAGTTAGCACAGACCCAAAACCAAAAAGCAAGAAACAGTTTCGGAAATATAGTTGTTTATCAACTGCCGTTCCATAATATAAAAAAAAAAAAAAGAGAGACTGAAGGATTGCGCAACACCGGGGGGTAGTCTAGCATGCACCTTTGGTCGTACTCTTCAACTAGCTTGCTCAGATTCTTCCCTATGCGAACGTAGGTGGCCTTACTGCTCCTTTGAGGCTCTCCACGAAGTACAGCCGCCAGCTTCTGCTCTGCCAAGCTTTGCTCTCTTTAAAATGCGGCCACTGCTTGTACGTGTCCCGGATAATGCAGCCCCAAGGCCTTCTGGAATGCATTGTGCGAGGACTCGAGACCTTTTTTCCGGGGCAGTTTTTTCCGGGGACACTTTTTCCAGTGACATTTCTGCTGGAACCCCTTACCAACCACGCTAGTAGACGGCGGTACTTGCGATTGCAACATGAACCATACAGCCACAAATTAAAGGGGTAATTAGAGACTTTTAGTTCATTGCCAACATATTTTACTGTATATTGGTACCTCCAATGTCCACCAACCTCAACAGCACATATCGAAGACAACATCCACAACGCACAAAACCCTACTTTAAAAAATATTGTTTTGATAAAAGAATGCTCTGTGTGTTGCATATAATTTACAATATATTGGGCAACTAACTTACGTGCAAACAACTGCGCTATCTGAAAAAACATGTTTTTTGAAGACTCCAAATAAAGATGATTCCCAAGGAGCGCATGCGCTTTCGCGACGCATCTCTAATGGCATGCACTCTCGTGTCGCAGCGCTCTCCCGTCATGCACTCTGGTGTCGCGGCGCTCTGCTGTCGTGTGCTTTCATGTTCATGGTGCTGCTCCTGTCGCGCGCTCTCCCGTCGGCGCTCTCGTGTCGTGCGATCTCGTGGCGCCCTTCCATTACCAAGCAACAAATTTACACAAATTCTGGAGCAGAAAACCCATATCTTCAAAGCAAAAGGAACAGATAAAATGAATTCGCCGGAACTATTCCCATGATGCCACTGCCCAGTTCAGTCCCGATGATGCGGTTATGGCTTGTGCGCAAAAAGTGTCGAGGGCGCATTTGAGCCTACTATTCTTACCGGACGGCTTGTCGTTTTCAGGTTTTTTTTTTTTGTTGGTGTGCACATTGCAGATAGTTGCGCTTGCTACAAACCCGTCAGCTCAAGTAAGCAATTGTGCACAAGAAGGCAAGGGGGTGGGCCGAACACATGCTATTTGGAAGACTATGCACCTTTTTTGTGTACTCTCGTTCCCAGCCATCTAATAGGCTTACCCAGTATGGGTGACGAAAAAATAAAAAAACATTTCAACCTGTAAATAGTGAAAAATAGAGGGGAGGCAAAACAACAATGTGTGATGGTTACGATGCTTATCTCCTAAATATAATCTATTGGCGTGGCGACGGCAAAACAATGTTTTCGCCCATACTGGAAGTGACAATTAAAGAAGGCGACGCCCTTGAAAAAAAGGTCTCTACAAACCTTATCTTAGGCCACCCGTACACACCACCTAGCAGCACCTTGGCGGGGGTGGTTATCATTTGGGCCCGTTCTCGTTTCGACCTTCTCATTTGAACTTTCTCAAAAAGATCATTAAAACATCCTTCTCAGTTGGGCCCGCCGCATTTGATCCATTCTCGTTACATCCTTCGCGTTTCATCCTCCAAGAAAAAAAAGACATAGAAGGGGGCATTTTCAGGTGTCGATTTTATGGCTGAGTCACCGCATATCCCCGAGAAAGCTTCTGGAAGTCCGCACCCCCCCCACTCCCAACTCGCCTATACGCAAGCGCTTGCATACATACTCGCACATGCTATTTAGTCCCGCGGTTTAGTTTCTGGAATAAGTTCCTTCTACTCTTGAAACACGCAGCGAAGGCCAGGACCCGCTCATTCGATTGTTTGGAAGTGGTAGCAGGCACTGAGCAATAAAACGCCGAACTGCTCTTTTCTGTTGAAGGAGGGCTTCGTATGTCTCTCTTTTCCCCGGTCGCGGGAGAGTGCACTTAAAGTGGTTCCCCCCCCCCCCCCCCCCAACACACAGACACACATATCCCACCCTGCACTCTATTTTTTCCTTAAAGTCGACTGCAGTGTGCCCGACGCCGCAGTCCAACAACATGCTAAAGGGCAACTCCACTTCATTTTTAAAATTGAGAAAACTATGCAGCCCTCCTCAGTATCATCTAGGAAGATCACATGTCAAATTTTACGATCTATTTCCATCTATATATTTACTAAACTAGCCAGCAAACTTTCAAATGACCCAAGTCGCAGAAATCTGCTGGCTCTAGCGTGCGACGTGAAGCGCGATCAACAACGCAGTAAACACCACGGAGTTGGAGCAGCCAACACTGAGCCACTACATCAGAGTCATGTCTACGTCATTCTCACATTTTGTTTGTTTTTACTTCTCAGAGTGAAATTGAACGATGACATCATGAGTTTCTTCTCCCGGTGTTGACTCACGTGATCACCGTAACATGGATGCGCTAGTTGGTGCTGCCCTGCACACTTCTCAGAGCCGAGAGGTGGATGCTGGGAGCGGTCCGTTTCGTCTCGCCGCTGTTGTAGTTTGAGAACAACAATTTGTTTATTTACAATATGAGCGCGGGCTGCATTACCGATGCCTAGCCGAGATGCCAGGCGAAGAATCCATAGACACAATGTTGTGTTGCTGCCTGCTCGAACAAACCAGTTGACCAGCCTGGGAGTTGTCTTCCACAAGTTTCCACACAATAGTGTGCATCTGAAGGTATGGACAGATATCCCGTGCCGATGAAATTCCGGGGAGCCGTTGTTGCCAAATTGCAGGACAATGATCTGTTCCGATTGCTTATGCTCATGACACTAATTTGCTGCTACCAACTAAATAGAGAAATATGTATGAAAATATGAGTTGTGCTGTGAAACCAAATGAATGTGCACTGGCGCATACTCATCACGGCATTCATAATTTCTGCTGACTATTTTGCTATTGACAGCAAACGTCTAGTCTGCCGTATAGCTTCATAAAGGTACACCATTCAGGCTACTAAAGCAGGAGACACATGCATGATCAAACGACCCCTGCGTCGGTTGCACTACGCGCCGGGCCTTTCCCAGTGTATGAGTATATATGTCTCACTCTTCCAGAAATAAGGTGCGAAGACTCAGCTATTTTTGGGCAAATCAATGTGAACTTGGAGGTTTATGTGCCCGACATACGAAAGGCATCTGGCACGTCCCAGCAGAGACCTGATGATTAATTTGCACCACGTGGGTATCTTGCGACATGTAACCGAGATCTTGGTTACTCAGTGCCTTCGCAACAATAAGCCCGCATCAAATTGCGGGCACTTCCATCAAGATTCCAACCAACCGACTGGGGGTGCGCAGGTTGAAAAATAGGAGTTCGTTGACAGCTTTGATCGGTACACAGCTTTGATCGGTGCTGAAAACCAGCAAGTGATCGGGTGCACTCAGCCGGCTTCATTGCCCAAAAAGTTCTCCCTGTGCTATTGGGCTTACGATGTATCAATAATGACTTTCTTCACATAGTGTCCACATAATATGGATGATCCCTTCCTGCCAAAAGGTTTGCTGTCACCAAAATTTTGGCGTCACCTTATTGTAACGTGTAGGGGGAATGATAATTTGGCACGTCATCTCACACAGCAGCTTCATGGGCCGTGCAATGGTTGTTGTAAATACCGTAAAATCCCGTAAGGGCGCCCTCCCCCGAGTGATCGCCCATCCCGATTTTGGCCAAATATCTGTGACAAAAATTCTGAAAAATCGCCCACCCCCCGATTCTCGTTAAACGTGAAGCGATGTCCAACGGGAATCGCGCATCGACGGCACGATCGGCGGTACCGGTGTGTCCGAGAAACGAGTTCATAGCGGGTTCTCACGTTTTTGTCCGCGATATTTGCTTGCGTAACACGCTAGTTGTTCCCGCGTGTATATTGCATTGTGAAATGCGAATCTGCTGCGTTTGCGATTTGCGGTATCCGTTCCCGAGTTCGTTGCGAATTCCCGTGTTTTAGTCCACGATCTGCGCGTGCAATATCGATTTTCAGCTGTAACACGTGGGAGTTGTTCCCACGTGTATACTGCATCGTGAAGTGCGATTCTGTTCATCTGCGATCTGCGGTAATAGTTTCTCTGACATGCGAGCTTGTAGCGTATTCCCGTGTTTTTGTCCGCGATCTGTGCTTGCAATATCGGTTTCCGTGACAGGCAAGATTGTAGCGGGTTCCCG